GACGGAAAAATTAAAATGTTATGGGTACCAAGTCACATCGGTTTACTGGGAAATGAGCAGGCTGATCGAGCGGCAAAGTATGCTGCTTCTGCTCCTCTAATTATGGATGATGTCATGGAAAAGTTGGATCTTCAAAGATACATTGGAAGAAAAGTTAAAGAGAAAATTGCAGAAGGAAATTTACAATACCATCATCAACACTACTCTTGCATTAACCCTCAATTAACTCCACCTCTATATCCAGCAAATGTTGAGAAAACCAAGATCCAAACATTCTCGAGAATTCGCCTTGGTCATACAATTGCAACTCACCAATGGATCCTAAAGAAGTTTTCTTCCCCAATCTGCAGTTGTGGACAACCTCTTACTATAAAGCCCATTCTCTGCGACTGCCTCAACTTTTCCTTGGCTAGAAGTATTGCATTTGGAAAGATTAACCTTTTGAACATTCTACAATCAGCTTCAGAACAGAATATCAATTCTCTGCTTAATGTCTCTTTTTTTAGTCTAAGAATTCAATTCATTAGTCTAAAATTAAAATAATAATAATAATAATAATAATAATAATAATAATATACATTACTTTATTAATACTACTAAACTCATTATCTAATGTACATTTTATTATTCTTTTTTGAAATTAGAGCCGATAGCCTGTGTTGCTAGTGCTCAATGTCTTTTTTTAGACTAAGAATTCAATTCATTAGTCTAAAATTAAAATAATAATAATAATAATAATAATAATACAATGCCATCCATATAAACAATTTTCCGGCTCCATTTGCTCAATGCATACCAATCTATTGCCATGCTCGGCGTAAGCCGTGGGTACAAAAAAATAATAGGAAGCTGTGACTAGAACTTTATACGCAAGATGCCCAATTGTTAATGGAACAATGTTATATTTGCTCTCGACGGTAAGTACATCGAGAAAAATGAACTTAGAAACGTGTTTTCTCGAAATGTGCAAAGGAAAAAAACTAAGCACCATTAACTAAAAGTTTTATTTTGAACCTTTCAGTGATGATGTAAGCAGACCTCTTTTTGTGTTTTAAGGGATTTAAGTACATTTTTGCTTATAACTTAACCTTAAATCGAACAGGTATTCTGGTCTTATTTAATAAAGGTTTCTATTTCCTATGAAATACATTTTGTAGTCCTCAGCTCATATATGCAGTTTTTAATAAAAGAAAGCACAATTTCCGATACTGTATGTAGACTTTATAGGGCTACTGTACATCGATTTTCTTATTTTTAATGTGTTCAAACCAAATGTTAAACTGGGAAAGAAAAGAAGATTTTTTTGCATCAGTGATTCTCGATGAGCTAAGCAAGCGACACAAGAAAAGGATCAAAAAGATTGTCTGTGGTGATTCTTTAGAAAACTGTTAATTTCCGCTGTTATATTATCACGTTGTGCTTGACAGCTGGCAAGGAACTTTGTAGCTGTAGGAACTTTGACTGGATTTAACAGCTTATTTATGATAAGTAAATGCAATATAACAAATAATTTAAACAAAATGAATGCAAGACGTCGAGTTGTAGTAACTGGTATAGGCGCAGTGTCTTCTCTTGGAAACAACGTCGTCGACTTATGGCAAAAGATATTGAATTGTGAAGCTGGCATTACAAAACTTGGAAGTGAATTCAAAGGGTTACCATGTCAAGTAGCTGCACAATTACCGAGAGAACAGCTGCAAATAGAGAAGTACTTAAGTAAAAGTGACTTAAAAGTAATGAGTCGCGCTACGCAGTTATGTATTATATCAACTGAAGAAGCCTTGCAAACAGCAAAATTGGATCCAAAAGAACTAAACACCGATACGCTCGAACGTTTTGGTGTATGCGTTGGAATGGGAATGTTTGACTTGAGTGAAGTATACGGTGCCTGGCAGCAATTACAAAAAGGTTATAATCGGGTTAGCCCATTTTTCGTGCCCAGGCTACTTCCTAATATGCCATGTGGTCACATAAGTATGCGACACGGCTTGCGAGGACCTAACCATTCAGTGTCGACAGCTTGTGCTACAGGTTCGCATGCTTTAGGCGATGCAATGCGTTTTATACGAAACGGTGATGCGGATATAATGTTGGCTGGAAGCGGAGAATCGTGCATTGATCCACTATCAATTGCTGGGTTTTGTAGAATACGGGCCTTAAGTACTGCTTTTAACGAAATTCCAAGCCAAGCCTCGCGACCTTTTGACAAGAATCGCGATGGGTTCGTTATGGGCGAAGGCGCCGCAATATTGTTATTGGAAGAACTAGAACATGCTTTGCAACGTAAAGCAAACATTTTAGGAGAAATTTTGGGCTACGGGTTGTCAGGTGACGCCTATCATATCACTTCTCCTAGTGAAGATGGTACCGGTGCTGCATTGGCTATGTTCAGAGCCATAAAAGATGCGCAAATAAATAAAGACGACGTGACATATGTTAACGCACATGCCACTTCCACACCAGCGGGAGATCGCATTGAGGCCCAAGCCATATGCAAAGTTTTCGGTGATCATGTTAATAAAATTAGAGTGTCCTCTACGAAAGGTCACCATGGCCATCTTTTAGGCTCCTCTGGGAACCTAGAAACAGTGATTTTAATAAAAGCTCTCGCCGCTAACAAAATACCACCTTCGTTAAATGTAGAAGAATTAGGCAAAGACATATGTGTAAATGTAGTAACTAAACCAGAAGTATGGGGTTATAACAGTCAACAAAGATTAGTTGCTTTAAAGAACTCTTTTGGTTTCGGAGGCACAAATTCGTCGTTGTGTATAGCTAGTTATATTAGCTAGACATCAATGATAAAGTTTACATTTTTCTGAATTTCATTTGGATATACAAATTACAATGTAAATAGTAATGTAACAAGATTTATATACGAATATAAATATAATAATATAAATTCAAATATACAACATTTAAATGAATGCAATATCTCTGTTGTCCCCTTCCAATCGGGGCTTATTGAAGCACATCTTTGAACGTTGTAGATATTTTCTAGAAATAATAGCATATTTATTGTCAAATATATGAAAAAACCGTAACTTACAGTTTTACAAAACGGACAAAATCCAAAGCCAACGTGAAGAAAAACTTTACTTTCCTTCAAAGTAGTGAACCACTTCTTAAGACAAGTCGTATGAAACATAAGGCTACAGTTAGGATTATCACAAGAGACAATTGGAATATCACCTAGTTCCGAATTATGACAGCAGCAAATGTGACAAAATGTTGGAGGTGGTCCGCTATCAATTGCAGAAGGCATAGGAAAGAAACATAAATCAAAAATGCGCAGTAAATTCTTGTGCACGTTTAGACTTGGATCCCAATCACGAAGGCCATCATCAAAAACACGCCTCAATGGTCCAACTTTTTCAGTTGGTCCAACTACATTCACCACCATTGTGCTAAGAGGTGCGAAAGGATCTTTAAATTCAATCTTTAGAAACACTCGGTCCTTTAGTACGAACATACGCCAGTTTTCTTTCGTTGTGGGTTTAGAAGGTTGGACCACATGGCACAATTCGTCAATGTCGGCCAAGTTTTCATAAAACGGCTTCAATTCTTCCAAAAACACTAGGAATTTTTGAAGTAAAGGTTTGAGACCCGTAAGTTCTTTCACCAATGATTGCAAATCTATACAGCTAGGCAAACTATGTTTCAAAATTTGGATGGATGGCAATGCTAATTCCAAATAGTGCTGTTTGTGGTGTGCAAAATTTTCAAACCGCGAGTATGAACAATTTTTGTTCAAGAAAATATCGTAATCTTCTGATTGCCATAAGGACGCTATTTCTGTATAAACACTTCGGTTGTGGTTTGCGCATGGGTCAATATTACATATGATACCTTCTGGTTGTCGTTGATTCTGTCCAGAAATGTTCTCTATCAATTTACTAATTTCCGAAAGTTTTTTTATCTTTAGACGATGTTGATGTTGTGTTTGTATATTGAGGTTTTCTGAATTTGCTAGAAGCGAAAGTTGCACCTTTGTTTGCATCCATTTATTCTAAATAGAAAAAATTCAAAATTTCAAAATAAGTGCTTTTTAGAAATAAATACCTCGGTTTTAACTGGCCCTTGCAAATATATATTATTTGTACAGCTGTAGATAGTCGGTAGGAGGCCTAAACATTGTTCCAATAGTAGACTTATTTCAGTTTTTAACACTTCGCTCCTTTCCATTTATATTGATCAAATTTTGGCAGAATTTGCCGCCAATTTCTTTAGTGTATTGTTTCTACAATTGTATATTAGCAGCTGACTGTTAATGCAAAACAAATTTAGTAACAACATATCGACGTGAAAATAACAAACGGAAAGAAAATCAAGCACCACTAAGGGACAAAAGAAAATACCTCACAATATGCAATATAATTTCGGATATCACATAATAATAATTTAATTATCAAGTAAATAAATTGTTCCAATAGTATATCAACTTAGGAGCCACGACGTAGCTGTGGTAGTAATTACAATACACCAATAAAGTGTTCCTTTTAAGTTTACTTTATAGTAGAGTATGCGATAACTTAAGTCCTTAAACTAATCAAATATAAATTTAAAATATAAAAAAAAGCTACCATATTACAACTGACACATTATGTGGCCGTTTATGAGTACGTGCTTCTTGATATATTCGCAAGAAGAAAAGAATTATTATTATTATTATTTTAATTTTAGACTAATGAAATGAATTCTTAGACTAAAAAAAGGACATTGAGCACTAGCAACACAGGCTATCGGCTCTAATTTAAATAAATGGATATTAGATAGTGATCTTAGTAGTATTAAAAAAGTAAAATATTGAATTGATATTCTGTTCTGAAGTTGATTGTAGAATGTTCAAAGGGTTAATCGTCCCAAATGCAATACTTTTAGCCGAGGAAAAGTTGAGGCAGTCGCAGAGAATGTGCTTTATAGTAAGAGTTTGTCCACAACAGCAGATTGGGGGAGAAGACTTCTTCAGGATCCATTGGTGAGTTGCAATTGTATGACCAAGGCGAATTCTCGAAAATGTTTGGATCTTGGTTTTCTCAACGTTTGTTGGATATAAAGGTGGAGTTAATTGAGGGTTAATAAAAGAGTAGTGTTGATGATGGCGTTGTAAATTTCCTTCTGTAATTTTCTCTTTAACTTTTCTTCCAATGTAACTTTGAAGATCCAACTTTTCCATGACATCATCCATAATTAGAGGAGCAGAAGCAGCATACTTTGC